TAAAATGTCGAAGGAAAGTCGTGTTTCAGTTTGCGCAAAGTGTGAATCAGAGAGCTTCACCTATGACACTGAACGGAATCGCCTTTCTCCCCATTGCTCATTGTTAATTATTTCCACGGTGTGGTTGGATTTCTGTCCAGTGACTTTTCTCAGATAGTTGATGGAGATGGGATGGCCTGAAGAATGCTTCAGGATCTTGCGGTATCAACACAATGAGCTGTGGTAGGCAAAATGTTGGCCACCAGAGTTTTTGTTCCCAGTCCAGCTTCTTTATCACTTTGTATTCCAGTGTCCAGGCAAAGCTGTTTACCAGAAATGTTATTCAATGTGAAGGTCACTAAGATGTTAGTCCAGCTGAGATGCTGAATGCAGTTTGTGTCCTGTCCTAGCCAAATCCTCACTTTGCTGTTGGAAGTAATGACCACCTTTATAAATTATTTTCCAAAGTGGTGCCCTTAGTCTGCAAACAGACTTTTTTTACTAGCTTGAATTACTGCGCTAGAATAAAGAGGCCGTTGGCATTCCTGAATTTAATGTACTATAAATGTTGAGGAATTAAATGAGTTTATATTTTTTAAAAAGAAGAAGGGAGGGGTGGGCTTGACAATAAAAGTCTGAACAGTCCTAACTCACTGCATGCAGGAGCAGCAGATATTATTTCATAGGTGGGTTATTTTTATGAAATGCAGTATATCACAAGACTATGTCACAAATGAAACGTTGGTAAGGGGGGAAGCCATTAATGCAATGCTAATAATATATGCAAAAATAGACAGAAATTAAATATCATAAAAGCTATATTAAAAGCACCACACAAAAGGTTGTTATCAGGGGGGGGGGAATATACAGTATAAACCAAAAAAACAGAACATAGAAAAAGCTTTTAAATAACTTGATCCAATAATGAAACCTAAACTGATTTAATCTTAGGAGCATAGAGGGCTGCCGTGTAAGAAGTCAGATTTTTGGTCCATCTAGCTCAGTATTGCCTACACAGGATAGATTCAGACAGGTCTTTCACAGCCTTAAGAGATGCTGGAGACTGAACGTGGTACCTTTTGCATGCAGATCAGGTGCTCTGCCACTGAGCTATGGGCCTTCCCCTGTTGATAAAGGAAAGCAGTAACTAGAAAATGATTAACCCCAATCACCCTATCTTACCTGCTCATCAAATTATCCATTGATATTATTAGGAGCACCTGATCTTCTGGGTGATTATGAAGATTACCTGCTTTCCCCCCAATGTTACACAGTCTGCAAAAGTGTCTTTGCTGAGCTTGGTGTGTAAGCCTTCCTCTACAGCAGCATTGTTGAGATGGGTGTCCTGGCTTCTTCAAGAATGCAAGGTATTTGATGTGTGGGTGAGGTTGAGATGAAAATAACTTGTGGGCTCCCTTTGCTTCCCTGCAGCACTACAAGGCTGTCTGAACATATATCAGATGGCACAAGACCTGACAACAGACTTAGAGGCCTTTCCCCACACTTGAGGATGCAGAGCGGGTTCAGCTATGTTCTCATTTTATATTCACAACTTTGCAGAATTTGGACAGGGTGACCTGCCCATAGACACTGGGGACCCCGCTGGGAAATACTTTTCCCCAGTTGCCACTTCCATGTAACTTTAGCAGCAATTCCTCACCCCACCAGCCATTCATAACGGAGGCTCTGAGTGATAATACTTCATTGCTGTTATCATAGCGCAAAATGTATTGGCAGAAGCTGCCAAGCTCAGTATTATAGTTGCCGTTGTTGTTGTTGTTGTTTAGTCGTGTTTGACTCTTCGTGACCCCATGGACCAGAGCACGCCAGGTACTCCTGTCTTCCACTGCCTCCCGCAGTTTGGTCAGTTGCCATAGATTGGGCAAATGCCCTCAGAAAAGCAGAACAAAATAAAGAATATCAAAAAAGGCACTTGTGGGCTGTGTGTGCTACCATGTTGATTGAGAACTAAGACACACACACCCCTTCCAGAAGTTTTTCCCCCATGCATTTGCATGGAGAGAGGAATGTGACCCTTGTCCCCACCAGAGGTGGGTTTAGCAGGGCGCAACCTAAAATCCTCATTTCTGGACATGGATCCACAGGGGTGCCGCAGGGGACTCTGCAACTATTATGTAGAATGGAAGGTGAGAGGCAGGTGGTGCAGAATTTTGGTGTTGCACAGGGCACTGCTGAAATTTGAAACCCCAAGGTCCTCCACCGCACCCATATGCTTATTTACATTGCTTCTACCCTCCAACCCACCCACTGGATGGAAGGTGTGAAGGGGATGTGTTCATGCAAGTTCATCTGAATATGCACAGGCTCCTTCCTGTGGTCCAGAACTCTGCCAGGTCAGGATGCCCAACCTTGTAAAAGAGCCTACGTGCGTTCAGACAAATGCATGTAGCCTGAGGTCCCTCTTTCAGTGGTCGGGTTGAGATCCCACCACTCAGTGTGCAAAGGCTGGAGCCACAGGGATGCCACACTGGGAGCCCCATGCTTTCAGTTCCAGTTCCAGTCAGTAACTATCCCTCCCGAAGAGCCAGTCAGTGCTTTGAAGCAGAGGAGGCTTGTCCATTAGGGTGAATGGGGTGCTGCACAACCTTCAGTCTGCCCTCAGCCAGTCCTCACCTGCCAGCTGCCTCATGTACAACCAATCAGAGGATTGCTCTGCCTCCTTTTGGTTCTGGCTTCCCCTATTGGCTGATCTCCCTGGCTTTTACCCCACCAATCCCAATGGGCACCAGCCACTGCTGTTCTGAAGGGCTGCGGAAGGACTTCCAGAACTGCACTGAGAGCTTCAGCGGAGACCATGACTAGCTACCAGCCAAGGGTGCTGATTGGCAGGTCTGTTCTGTGCCACTCTGGTTCTGGTATCTGGTGCATGGACAACCCCGCTGCTCTTCCTGGTCATCACCCAACACTCACTCTGTCACATCACACTGGTTCTCCTAAAGCAGGAAGGTGGTGGCCTGCTTAGCTCGGTATGACTTCCTGTGCCTACAGCAGAAGTAGGCAACCTTTTGCCTGTTTTACCCATCTTGGCACTGGGTGGGCCCTGAGTTGGTGCTGAGCAGGGCCAAAGAAAACACACCCTCTTAAGTATCTCAAGAAAGAAAGAGAGTAGAAAGAGTATGGGGTGGTGGTAATTCAAACTCCTTCCTTGTCATCTGCATAAAATCTGCCTGAGGGCCACATGAGTCCCCAGAGGGCATGGGCTGCCAAGTCTTGGCGCACAAGGTCCATTGAAAAAGATGACCAGTGTAAGGTTACATGAGATGTTTTGGGAACTTAGGAAAACTCCTCTGTAAAGCTATTTGGATATATTATCATTCATGAACAGCTCCCTATTGAGCCCTGGCTCCGGGTCATTTTCTGCCTGTCCTGCTGGGGCATTGCCCAGCAATGCAGACATGTGCCCACCTAGCCAGGGTTCGACAACAGAGGGCACCTTGGGTGCCTTCTCCACCTGCCAAGGCTGCTCCCTCCACCTCCACCAGCAGCTTCTGTTTCTTTCAAAGCATTAATCCAATAGGAGACCCCCGGAACAGTCTGACATGTATTTTTCTCCTTGATCGCAAGTGTTTTCTATCTCCTCCCTGTGATATCAGAGAGTTTGCTGCTGCTGCTGCTTTTTCTGTTTTAAACCACCTCATTGGAATTTATGATCCAGACATCCCCTCTGGCTTTTTCTTCCATTCTGACTCCAGCTTCTCTATTTAACATTGCCCCCCAGGACTTTGATCTGCAAATTTCCACCGGCCTTTCTTTCCTACCCCTCGTTAGTTTTTTTGTGTTTTTTTTTTTTACTTTCAAAATATTGTAAAAGCATGTAGTGAATTTGCTCCAAACCGTTTTGAATCCCTCCAAAGGTTTCCATATGCTGCATTTGGGGCATGGGGTGTGATGGGGGAATGTGGGCATGGTGTGTGTGTGTGTGTGTGTGTGTGTGTGTGTGTGTTTTCCTGCCTTAAAGAGAATATAGGGAGAGGAGGGGGAGGAGAGGGTGGCTTCCTCCCTCCCTTTTTTAAACCATGTTGGCTCTGTCCATGGTCAAAGTAATTCAGCCGTAATCCCCTTTTCTCTTCCTCTCCTAGCCTTCCATTCATATTCTAATCACAGCTTTCCCTTCTCTCGAAACCAGCCACTTTATCAGAGCTCCAGTTTTGCTACTCGCTTGAGCCCTTCCCAGCGCACAGAGAGACGCCTTCAGAAGAAACGGGCAACTTTTCTCCCATCTTCCCCCACCAGCCTGCACGCATCTCTGCCTCCAAACAACCCTGCGAGAGGGGGGAAAGTCTCTGGGAAATCTTCAGACCTCCGGAGGGATGGGATCAGCATCTATCTCTTCCCCTCCCGGGAACACACGCACTAACTTCTTCCTTACTCTAATAACCGAAAGAGAAGAAAATAAGCGCTTAGATTTATCCCAGTGATGATGGGGAGACGGGTTTGTTTCCTGCTCCTGCGTGCATTTTAGGGCCTCTTCACACGTTACACCCCAGCAATACTCTAGTCTGGAAGCCTATTTCTGTGATGTTTGAGAAAACAAATCTGTAGCGTTCACATTTCGATGGGTATCTTAAAAAAGACTGTAAATGGGTGAACAGTTTACACCTAGCATGGACTCCTTAGTCCAGAAACAACCTGCGCTTCCAAGATGCTCTGAGCGATTCCCTAAGAAGAGGAGGTCTAACAAAGTCTTTAGATGCCACCAAACAGTGCCCGAGAGAGAGAAAGATCTAAGCCAATTTTGATCTCAGCCTACAAGGAGCCAAAAGCTGGGTGGTGGATGGGGGAGCAGTGGAAGAAGAGGGGGCGTCTCTCTCTCTCTCTCTCTCTCTCTCTCTCTCTGGAACTTTAACCAAGACAAACGTTCCCTAATGGCAAGTGGGGAGGAGGGAGAGGCAGCCGGGGAAGGGGGGGGGAGTGTCGGGCTTGCGTAGATCTGAAGCCCCCCTCGCTGGGGGAGCGCTTTTCTTATTCAAAACAGTGGCACAATGGGGTTCACATTGAGCCTTGCCACATCCCCATCTGACTAGCAGCCATTCATCAGGCTGGCCGGCCTATCAATGACATTTCTCCCATCAGGGCTCCTATAAAATGACGCTTTTTCCCATGAAACATCCGCAAACATTTTGACGGCTCTGGCGTTGCCCTGTTGGATTTACTGAGGATCTCTCCCTCTCTCTCTTCTCCCCCCTTCCTTCTCTCTCTCTTTCTCTCCCCCCTCTCACCCCCTTTCTAACCTCCACCCCCCCACACACCAGCACACCTCCTTCTCCCTCTTTTCTTTCGCCGGCATCTCTGAGCAAAAACAGGGGAACTCCACCAAACTTCAGGACTTTGGAGGCTCCTGCACTGTCCATGGGAACAGCATGCATTGTGGGTTGCTGGAGGAACCTGACATGGATTCCACAGGTCAGTCCGAAGCCGTCGGGGCGGCAGGGAACAGACTCCGTCCGTCTTTTTTTGCGCCCAAAGTTTGGCAGGGATCAAGACGAGAGAGGGATCCACAGGGAAGCGCGGCGCGCTGGCCTGGGGGCTATGGGATCCTCCTAGGTTAGCCGCTTCCGCTCGAGGGGATGCGCCTGGGTGTGGATCCTCGAGGGCTGGAGAAGGTTCGCTGGTTGTCACTGGAAGGGAGAGGGGGGGGCCCGATCCGAGGCACGTGGACTCGGAAGACTTGCTCTCCAGGGAGGGTGCCTCGGCTTGCAGAAGCCCCCCATCTCCCAAATCCAGATGGGCAGGATCGAGCTGGGCAGCTTCTCATTTGAAGGAGTGCGAGCAGAATTGAAGGAGCAGAACTGAATTATTAATTTTTTTAGGGATTGGCGAAGTGAAACTTTGGGGTGCTGGAATGCAGCTTGCGAAGTGGGAGGTTAGTTTGGAGGTGTTCGTCGCAATTCAAACGTCTTGGGGCGCAGAGCTTTGAGATCAGCTGGAGGGGGGACTAGGAGGCTGTTTCATAACGGGGGACGATGAGGCCCGTTTTGATACTGAGCCCCTTCCCAAAGGGCTGAAATTCCGAGATTTTAGTCATCGCCTCCTGCCAAGTTCGGGGGCTATCGGCCTGGAACGGCTTTTTGGGATGGAAATTGTCCTAACTTTAATAATGATAACGTTGATATTATTATTATTATTAATTGTCATTACTATTTCTGGGTTGGATTTCAAGTTTCTAGGCCCTCTAAACTCCCACCATCATCTGCACATCCCAAACTCCCCTCTGTTTTCTCTTGGAAGGGAAAGCCTCCGTCCTTGCCGTGCATCTTCCTCCCAGGGGAATGTACTTAGAATTTCACCCTTAACCTCTCTCCCGGCCCCCTTTAATATCGACTGATGGTTCCTATCCAGTTTGAATTCTGTTTACACGGTAGGTGGGGTGTGTGTGGAATCCTTCTGGGCTCCCCCTGCGCTGCTCACGATCCTGGCAGCAGAGGTGAGGATCCCGCGCTTCACATGTGGGGTGTCTCGCTGGAGAGACACCTGTGACTCGGCCGGGGCCTGTGCCGAGAGCGATGGGGGCTCCCTCGGGGCAGAGAGAGGGAAAGAGAAAGAGAGAGGTCCGAGGCTGCACTGTGACTTAACAGGCTGCAATCCTATGCAGTACATACTGACCTGGAAGCAGCAGGCTCCATAGCCCTCGATAGGGCTTACTTCCGAGTAAACCTCCCTAGGATCGCGCGGCCTCGTCCGAGGGCTGCGGAGCCCAAGATCTGGAAACTGCAGGTGCCGCCTCGCCCAAGAGATGATGGGGCGGCCATCGCCCTCCCTCTTATCTTGAACTTTAAAAAAAAGTTGCATCGAATGTGGCACTTTCCTACTGTGGTGTTAATTTTTGTAGTATTTTTATAGCATTTATTAGTAATTAATAAATTACTTATTCGTTACTACGAAATAAACATCACCGGCCGCTCTCCTTGGATTGCTGACTTTGGAGCGACTCCCTAGAAGTCACCAAGGGATTGTCCTTCCACGAGGCCCTCGAAGTTTTGTTTTTAGGGTTTGTTTAAAAATATATATGATTTCTTTCCCTTTAAGCACTGAAGTTTAAAGTTGGGTCCAGCTGTGAACTTCTTTTTGGGCAGGAAAAGAGAGGTCAATCAAAACAAAACAAAAAGGCGCTTGAGCGACGCATTCTCTTAGAAAACGCGCCTGCTTGGAAGAAGCCGAGTAGGCCGGAGGGACTCGAGGAAAACTCGGGGGTCAGGCCCATATCTCCCCCCCTCCCCATGCCCTACGAGGCCAAGCAGGCAGCCAACGTGCTCCCCAGAGACACGGGGGGAGAAAGAGTTTTAGGCCCCCAGAAGCCAGCCGGGAGAGTGCGCGTGAGGAGGGGAGAAGCGAGGCACCCGGAGGGGCTGCTTGGCGAGCCCGGCCTCGGCCCTCTTGTTTTAGGGGTGGCGTCCCTAACAGCTCGGCTCTCTAACTTTAAAGAAAAAAAAGGAAAGAAGGGTATAAGGTACAGTTTTGTTTTAAAGCATTTCCTATATTAAAAAAATATACTTTGAACGGACTGAGTGGGAGCGAAGGAAGAAAACTGTCCCCACTTGGGGGTTCCCCGTTTCCAATTTAACGTCGGAACCGGAAAGCTAGACCCTGGTGTTCTTAGGACCCTTTCGCGCGCGTTAAGCAATGCACGCGACACTTGGAAGCAGCGAGACTTTCGGGGAAATGGGTCCGGGAAAGCGTGTTCCGCGACGGGGCGCGCAGTGGTGGTTTTCCGAGCCATGAACTGAGCAGGGCTGAACTGCGCCTTTCGTGTAAGTCTCTCCCAAACCGACTGCTGGGCCGACTGCTCTAGTGTAAGGCAGCCTCCGGGCCGGGGGACTTGGCCGCGCTCCGGGCCTCGAGGTGGCGGCGGCGGTGGCCTCGCTCGGTGTCGGGGGACGGCCGACCCCCAAGCGAAGGCCCGGCCGCCCGCTGGCCTTGAAAGGCGCGCCGGGCTGCGCCAACCGTCCCAGGCGGCGCGCCTGATGGAGGGCAGCGGGTTTGATTAAGATAATATTAATCAGAAACCACTTTCGCCTTGCTCAGCAGATGGCAGGGAAAGTGGAGCCTTTGGCGTTGCCCCATTCAGACACCTTCACCTCCTTTTCAGGGGACTTAATCCAATTAGGCTTTCCTCGGACTTTTCAGTTGTTATGTAAAGAATCCCCCTTTTGCGTTTGGGGAGAAATATGGCTTCATTGGAAGCGAAGGGGCGGCGGCGGCTGTGTGTCTTGGGAGGCTCGCGGGGGGGGGGGTAGTCTCGTTTTAATTTTTCCTCGCCATTCACCTCTTCTCCTTAATCGCTTAATGAGGAAATCAGCTGGAACGACGAACTGCCCAGCATTTCTTGGGTTGTGTAAAACTCTAGGAACCCGTTGCAAAAAAACCCGTGTGTGTGATTGAAATAATAGACAACAATAATCTGTCTCTAGAAACGAAACCAGTTCTTCTGAAGTAACCCCTGCTCTAAGCAAACCCTTTCTCTTTTCAAGAACATCTTCAGCAAGGTGCTAAGAGAGAGACATTGAAACAAATTTAACCCAAATTTAGGTACAAAGTTGAAATCCATTGGGGAGAACATGCAACAGGTTGGTATTTGAAAGGAAGTTTGCCCAACTTGAATGGATTTCTGGAAACACATTGAAAAGCCTATGGCACTAAATAAAATGGGCATATCTTGCTTTTAATTTTAAAAAAAAATAGGAATGTAGAATCATAGAATTGTACAGTTGGAAGGAACCACGATAGATGTACAAATTTGAAATAAGGAAGGCGAGGGATGGGGAGAGTCGATCCACATGCCCAAGTAAATCCCTAAATTAAATCTCTACCAAAGAAATTGTAGGGGAAGGGAGGGAGGGTCGTTTTCTGTTGAGCAGCAGGGAGCTAAAGACTAATTGAAATAGGCCAGTGGCGGGACTGAGCCCGGCAGTCCAACTGGTGGTCGTCCTCTACAATTCTTCTGAAGCCTGTTCCCAGGATCCAGAAGCAAAAAAAGGGAAAGTGCCACCAAGTTAATTCCAGTTATATCTTCTTCCGAGACACTGATTAGCCTCAGAACCTATTTTTAACACTTAAGCTCTGCTCTGGAAATATTTGCAAACAAAGGCAAACACCTGTGTGCATGCCCAGAGAGCCCCCTAGTACCTGCCGTGTAACAAAATATTGACCTCAAACACCAGTGATTAAAAGTTAGGGCCTTTAGGAGGGGGTCACCTTATATGTCAGCACCCATCTTTTTAGAGCAGAATTGCTAAATATTTTTCTTTCTTTTTTTCAGTAGAGGGCCACATTGACCCTTGGCCAGCACTTTAAGGGTGACATGCCTGTGATGGGTGCAGCCACCCACACAACTCTTGTGCATGTGCATGCACACTCATGTGCATGTCCATGCAGATCAGCCGAGGAGTGGGGTGCGATGCACACCCCATCAGAGTGCTAGGTGCTATCCACCCATGACTGTGCCTACTTCCTCCCCTTGTATTTTTTTACAGTTGCTAAAAATAGGGCAAAAGGAATAAACTGCTTGGATCAGGTCCCAGAACTGGGGATAGCCACCTCTATTTTGAAAGCATTAGCCATTCCTGCCCATGCTACATCCAGTGGGTATGATGAGCTTGGGGTAGCAGTTTAGTCCTTTTTAGCTGGTCCCTTTTTCTTTACCCTGTTTTCACCCAAACAGAATTTACAACACTAAGGAAGAGAGAAAGTCTGTGCAACAGGACAAACAGCCAGGTTGGTGGTGATCATTCATTTATTGACTTTCTAACTGGGGGTGAGATGAAGGCATTATACGCTATTCAAAGGGATGCAGCCCTCCGATCCTCTTTGTTTTAATTCGACAATGAAACCAATGGAAAACGAAGGTTGTCTGTGTGTTTGTAGGGCAGGGGGTTGTTTATAGCCCTAATTAGTGAGCTGGTCCCCCTTCCCAAAGAGGGAGACATTCTCATTAAACAAAGATCTTAGTCAGTCAACCCACCAGACGTAGAAGGGCAAAACACCTTTTTCTCAATTCGGTCCTCTTATCAACCCTTCAACCTGTCAGGTAAGGGTCTAGTCTAGTTTCCTCATAGGTTATACCCTACCCTTCTTTCAGGAAGGGGGGTGTAATTCAGTGTCCAAATGAGGAGATACAGTCCTAGCATTCTCCATCTTAGAAGATGCTGAAGTTGGTGCCTAGTTCCTAGTTACTTACTTGTTTCAAATTATTGCACAAATAAGTTGGTGAGAACCAAGTAGCCAACTTCAGCAGCATGTATAAAGGATGTTTTACAGTGTCTGCAAGGAAAGAGGGGGCAGCTGTGGCTACAGGGGGTCGGGTGTCCCAAAGCGGTTAGCCTTGGCTATTGTGACAGTCCCAGGAATGGCAAAGGAGGCCATGGGGAGGCCTGTCCTTGTTTTACAGCACAGGGATGTATCCTGTA